CGTCATTTAATCTCAAAGAATGTTCTTTTTTAAACATCTGTCTTATGTCCTAAGTTTTAAGTCATAACAATGCTTACAGCCCTCTCGCGCTCGCAAGACTGCTTCTGTCTTAAGCAGTATTCGCGTCCACGTACTCTCAGTGATTTATCAGAAGAAAATCGACAGACACGAAATGTCATTTAAATCTTGATTAGATTAACCTTAACAATTTCTCCAACGACCCTTTAAAATCATAGAAGGATCCCCTACTTATTGGAGATAGTTTTCCAATTCTAACCATCATTCTAGACAAAATTCATTATGATAGTAATCATAATTGTTTTATCTCACCTGCAAAGAAATGCGTATATGGCTTTTAGAAAAAAGATCAGGTCACTAAACCACCGCAAATTTCTTACCTTAATTCAAGACTTTTATGATTTTACCTGGATTAAACTGTTTACGATATCAACATAAAGGTATCTGTTTTAATTTCAGGGGCAAACGAATTGTGTACCTATTCAATGGACTTGAACGGAGGGTTCACCGCAAAGTTTTTGCTTTAATTCGGACCAAATTGCTTTGTTCATTGAACGAATTCCTTGAAAATCAGTCCTGTATGCTTCCGACATTTTAATAATTTTTGCGAAGATCCTTCGGAAGAAATGGAAATTAAACATTTCGTTTTGATCGACGCAAGACTTTTTTTAATTAGTTAAAAATAGTTGGACATCATTGCTCATGCTAAACATTTTTAACAACGAATTTATTTTTGTCCACGAGAACTTGAAATATCCGTAGACAACCTTAAAAGCTACAGATATGAAGATAGGGGAAATGGATGGATTCCCTAGTAATTAATGTCTCTAAGAATGAAGCTCGTTTTGGATCATTGCTTAAAATAAAGCGTAGTAATACTAAAAAAGGGGCAGAAGTGTTGGAAAGTTTCCGCTCACATCGTTTTTCTCCGTAATAATCATAAATAGCTGTAGTTAATAACTAGGCACTGTTAAGGCGATATCGAGTTAAAGGTATTATTATTTTTGATACATAGCTCGTCATAACTCTTTGACAGGGCTAAAGACCTATGTTCGTACGCTGGCTGAAAAACTTCCGACTTGAATATGAACGCATATATAGAGGCTTGTGCATGCGCTGAAAATGCTCGCCAAAATTTCAGATATGTGGGACGCGTACTCTTTTTGTTTTATGGAAAATTTCGAGCATCGGAATATCATGGACACTTTCGAAAGAATATATGCATACACAAACGAAAGATGCGTCGGGGGCGGTGTATGTGTGCAAGCGTCTTATCATGCACCACCGTCAAACTTCGGGTAGGTAGCTTGAGACATCAATGAAAAAATATAACCGCAGGCAAAAACATCGGCCACCGTTAGTTTATCAAATGGTGTCAGCCAAGTTAAGGTTCCCAACCGAGCCGAGTGTGTGTGTATATATACATATATACGTTTAAAATAGCTTTAGCGAATCCGTCTATCGTCCTCATCGCTTCTACCAGTTCTTGACTCTTATGAATATCTGGAGGGTTCAGTATTCACAATCCACCAGAAAGGTAAAAAAAGTAGTGACCAACTATGAACGATATCTTGCCGAGAATATTTTGTATCATATTTTTCTCCTAATAATTAAAAAACAAAGAGTGGTCCAGCTTTGCCCTCTGATTGCATTGCACGTTTTGTTTTTTCATCACCTGCCATCAGACGTCATCGCAAAAACAATGTTACATAAAAAATGGAAAAAATACTCAATGAAGTTTGTTTCAAAAGCTTTATATATTTAAATAACAAATAAAACTCCCTTCGTGGGATAAAAAAAAATAATTTGCAAAACATTCAAATTCTAGCTAAAAAAAAATATTAAAATTCGGAAAAGTAAATGGAACATGTTGCTTAGCGCTTAAGTGTTGCGTCGGCTGTACATATCTGTAATGAGACGTGCGACACTAATTTCGCCGATAGTCTTCCGAAAGAATAGCTCCTCAATTGCAAAAGGCGTCACTTTGCCCATCAAGGAAAGAGCAGTCATAATCGCTTGAAAGCGTGTTGGTTGGCTTGGATGCTTACGCGCAATATAGTTGATTAAGGCATTGAAGTTCTCATTACATATGATGGTTCCAAGAACGCTGCGACATACGGCAGAACTGCTGAAGGTCGAATTATCGTCATTAAAACCGAGTGAAGTGTTGGCACAACCTTCATTTGCCGGCGGCGCAGATTTACGAAATAGGGTTATGGCTCTGATGTGATCATACTCAGTAGCGTCGATACTAAGATGGCATAATCGATTGAGAACATCTTGAAGTGCGTGAACTTCACGGCTCACTAAGGCCACAATTTCGCGGTTGTTGTTTTCTGATTCGTAGATAAACAGGAGTTGTGTAAAATTTAAAGGCATCAAGTATTGGGCCATAGCTAGGATCAAGAACTCCTTCCACGATTCCGCGAGAAGTTTCAGCCGATAGGCCATCGGAAATTCGGCGAAGGGAGGCAGATTTTTAATCCAATTAACATTTTTTAGTAAATGTTCGGCGGCCGCTTCTTTTATGCGTTCAGCACCCATCAAAGGAGGAATGGGTGGCGAAGCTGCCAATGCATTTACGTACCCCGTCTTCTGGCCAAAAAATGGAAGAAGTCGTTGATGTAACGAGAAATAAAGGGGTCGGGACCTGAGCAGGCCTAAAATTGACGGATTTTCGAAGGCACTAGTCAAGCTGGAATTCTTTCGCTGTAACTGGGGGCAAAGAATCGCCATATCTGGAAAACGAAGTGAAGCAGCAGTGTTCATAGAGACGTCAGCTGATATTGCTGCTGATCCGAGCAAAGCAGTCTTATAGGCAATCATATGGCGAAACACTATTGAATTGCGCGGCCCTCGTTCATGTTGAACTGCATCCTTATTCATGCCAACTTTGAAACATTTACGCAGGCGACAAGCTCGGCATTTATTACGATGAGTTCTATCCACAACACATAGTCCCGGCTTCGGCGATTTACACACATATTGTTGAGATTTGCGTATGGAGCGTTTAAAAAAATTCGCACATCCGTCGCAAGCGTAAATGCCATAGTGTTTGCCCGAGCTGTGATCACAGCACACTTCACAACGCGTACGATATAGTGTATGACCTTAAATTGAAAAAAGGGAGAAAAATATTTGTGAGTTTACCGAATCATTGCTCTTTTGGTGAACAGCGGGCGGTTCCTGAAAACAAAACTTAATGAAAGCATATCCTCCTAGTTGCGCCTGCCATTTCTTGTATAATTATATATGTTTTAAGGGTTGCGAAGGATGTTCTTTTTTCCATTTTATTAAACGTACTTGAAGCGGCCGACGATAATCTAGTAGAATTATATTTCTGGTCAATTATATCGGCAGAGTCTTTGTTCGATTGCATTGTTACAATAATTTATTAAAGAATTTTTGTAATATTAATTAAATATTCTTCCTCTTTCCTCTTCAATTTTATATTTAGTCTAAAGTAATGAAATTTAACTATTTTTAGCAGTGCTTTTTGAAATCTCTAATCTTCTCTAATTCCCCTGGCACTGTTTGCAACGCGACAACTATTGTTTGAGGTCTAAAGTGTATATGTCATGCCAGCTATCTAGCGGCGGCCCTATTGAGTAAGCAAATTCTGTGCTGTTTTAAGCGCCTAACACAGTGAATATGTTTGCGTCGCGCATCGTGAACTCAAACGTCAAAATATAATTTGATTGCATGATGGATATATAATTGAACATATAATTTGCATTGCATTGCCAAGCATTGAGTGAAAATCATATAAACGCATTCGCTGTGTGCAGCGATTAATCCATCAAACACAAGCACTCGCATATTAATCGTATCATTCTCTTTTTTTGAGCAGTGACTTGTGTATCGCTTTCTTTCTCTTGCCTACGCAGTATGATGTCCGTTTGCAATTTAAGCGATTATCGAATGCAGGGAATATTTTCTTAACTGTTTCCAATATTTGCTTATGTTTATTGTAAATTCCTACTTAGCACTCGCAACGTTGTTACTGTGTTATTCTTTCTAAGCATGAGCTGTAGGGCTGCAGTTATATGGGGCTACCTGCTTCGTTTTGTTCTCTTTATCTCAAATTAAAAAAAAAAAACACATATTTTTCTTACGCTTCAAGTTCTTCATTTTAAGAAGAAGAAGAATTATCACGACTAGGCTTTTATCTAAGCAATGTCACGTTACTTCAACTTGGCTGAGTTCTGAAGCGTATGAAACGAAACGAATCGGAGAGAAAGTTTTATGGAGCAAATTAGAAATTTGTTAAAATTTTCTAACTTTTATTGTTTATATAATTGTTAATGCAAAATCCAAGTATATTAGAACATTGTCATCACATATCACTTTAACAAATTCAAAAGTTGTCCTATAAAAATTTTCGTTAACCTATGAACCTCTAACTAAAACCATGAGTGAAGATAACGACGTTACCTAAAAAATAAAGGCTAAGTAGGTCGCAATATAGTTGGTTTTACGCATACATTTCCAAACTTTGCCGTTTATAAAGTGTTCTGGGTAGATAATTGAGAATAACCATTTTGCTTATAAATGTAGGGTAAGCCTGTGGTGTTCAACAACTTTTCTCGTAACTTTTTGATATTGACTGGAAACTGGCGCATGTTCAGCAGTTATTAAAATTTCATAAATAGTTTCCTTACAATAAATTTTGTTACTACGTAGTGTTCTGGCGATGTAGTGTCTTTCGCGTCCTGATGTCAAGCCGATTTTTTATAGTGGTATGGTGGTATGTAAGGCAATCCCGGGAGGCAAATTACATGACAATTGCTGGATTATGTAAGAATAGGACAAAAACGGTTCCGATCATTTCCTTAACTTAAAATATGTGCGTTGAACACGCAACTGCTTCTGGTGAATAATCGAATAAAGGCGTTTTGGAAACACGTCCATGGAAACGAAAGCTGTATTGACGGAAAAATGGAAAAAATACTGGTGCTGGTGTTTTTTCAAAGGTCTTGTCTAAGGTCTTTCTTGTTGTAGCCGTAGGCAGCGAGCAGATTGGACCCATTTTTTAAATATAAGCTCTTAATCGATCAAGAAAAGTGTCTGCCCAATTCCAGCTTTCTATCTGTAACGGTTTCGCAAAGATTGTTTGGTAAAAACCACCCATATAATGTGATGCTATGATTACTTCGAAAGCTGAACCATTTTTTGTTAAGATTTTTATACCCTACACCACTTGTGCTACAAGGGAACATTAAGTTTGAGATAGACCCGTATTTTATAACACTAATCTCAGGGTTAGGTAGCGATTCTGAATGATTTAAACTTGTCTGCCCGTTTGTCCATCTTGTGCTCAACCTGCGAGAGATATTTATTGCTCCCTCGGGATATATATCTCTCTCAATTAAAAAGGATTTTGGTTTCAAAAATATTTACATGCAGCAAAATCACCGATATTCAATAAACTGTGTGCGGTTATGCGGAGTTCTTTGCAAGCCATCGCATTATTATAAGCAAATGGTTAATTGATCGTCCTTTAAATTGTTTTATATTTGATTGCGTGTATGTGCTTAAATTAGTTTGATATTAAATTCGTTTCTTGTCTCTTTCAAATGCATGAGTAAGAGCGAAATTTAGTTTGTAATGGGAAACCTGGGAACTGCTTTTTCAATATAAACAATAAAGCGCTTGACATGTTAACAAATAAACTGACAACAGAACGTAGGATAATAAACGGGAATATTTGAAATTCTTATTAGAATCGTGCAAATGATGTACAGCTTAAAAGGAACAATTGCTCTAGAGGGTGTATTTGAATATGAACACAAACAAGGGGATGATGATGATGATGATACTTTCATGCTATCAATGTTCAATGCTCAACCTTTTTCATATGACGTTTG